GCTTCTAGTTAATCTTACCCGACCATGGCAGGATTCTTCTGCCTTTATGCCATTCAGCAGGCTTTCGGAAAGCTTCGCGCTCCCTAGTTTCTGTTTACTTCAATTGCCTTCCTCATTTCAGCTCTTGTGATTATAGCCACTGTCACCCTTGCTTCAGTCTCTTTAGAAGCTTCTATTCATACAGCTAAAGCTGTTAATGAAGTAATGACTAATGTCACAGCCATTGACAAAGGTATTCTCACATGCTGCCAAGCACTGGAGGCGGCAATAGAGTGGTTAGGTGACCAACAGCAAGCTTTGTCTCTCTGACAAACATTGCCATGTGACTGGGGACACTCCCACCTTTGTGTAACTCCATTATCTTACCATCAGTCTCAATATTCTTGGGAAAAAACAAAGCTACACCTACATGGCGTTTTAAATGCCTCTTTGGAAAAGAGTGTTACTGGCTTGACTTCTGAATTACAAAGACAATTAATTACCATTCCAAAGGAAACCCAAATGTCATATCTTCAGGATCTACAAAAGGATTTTTTCTGGCTAAATCCTAATAATTGGTTTTCAGGCCTCAACTTAACATATGTGGTTTACTGTTGTGATTGATCTTGTCACTTTCTGTCTCTTTTACTTTCTAGGATGGCGGATCCGCCAACTGATGATCTCTCAACGTCATCATGAAAAGATGTTGGCTGAAACTTACATCTCTCTTTCTCCCACTCACAGTATGTCTCTACTTTTAGATAAACAAAAAGGGGGACATATGGGGGCTGGGCCTAGAAGAAAGGATGGATGGATGGAAAGAATGTGAGCAGAGTGAATGAAGGGACAGGTGAAAACACCTACCTGAAGCTGCTTGTTTGCTGTGTGCAAAGGTCAGCTGAAAACAGCTGACCATGTATGGATGTTATTTAAAAATTAAGCAAATGGCCCAGACCTTTGTCCTCCAGCTAAGTCTTTGTTCTAAGAATTATTACCTGACATCCGTACGTCTTGTTCCTTATTTGCAAAGAGCTATGCTTGCTCGAGTTTCCACATTCTTGTGTACTCCCTGACCTTTTGTAGATATCCTTGGTAATAAATTTGGAAAAGAACTTAGCTGAGGAGGCCATTTTCTCTTTTAGATTTTGGTCTCTCCCCTTCTCTCTAAACACTATGTGTTTTGAGGAATTTTTTCTTTGCTACTGAGCACCAGAGCGAAGAGCTGCCTCACACACTCCCAGGCCAGCCAAGCACACTTGTGCCTGCATCCCAGGGAAGAGAAACAAGCCTTTGAGTTGCCCCCAGAAGACATGACCTTAGGCCAGATGAGCAGTATTGTGCCGATGCCTCAGACCTGAGAACGAAACCTGAAAGCCACTCCCGGCAGGCACTCCTCCAGGCTGGCTAATCAGCCATGCCTGTGTTCCCAGTGAAAGTAACAGCTCCATGGCTCCAACACCAGCAAGCTAGACTCCAAGTTGGCTGACTCACTGTGTGCCTGTACATGTCCCCAAATGAGAAATAACCTGGCAATTCCACCCAGTTTGTGACCACCATTGTTACAAACTCTCTCAGCATAGGCAACTGAGAGACTTGCAAACACCACTAGTCTAGATTACAGCTGAGGAAACTATTCATACATGGATACTCTGCTACTGTGTCCACCTAAAATGAAGGAAACCCCACTGAACCCAAACTTCAAGACTCATTCATAAAAATAAGGCTTTTCCTATGACATCTATTCCATTAAATTGGAAGAGGTGACTTTTTCACCAGATGTGTAGAAACAAATGTAGGGACACATCAACCATGAAAAGGTGAGAAAACATGTCGACTACAAAGGAAAACAATAATTCTCCATTAGCAGACCCCACTCATATGGAAATGTGAAATGCCAGAAAAAAATTCAAAATAATAATCTTAAGGAAACTCAGTGAGATAAAATAAAATACAGATAGACAATTCAACAAAATCAGAAAAACAATTCATGATTTGAATGAGAAATTCAATAAAGAGATAGACATAAAAAGAACAAAACAGAAATCCTATAGCTGAAGACTTCGATGATTAAAATAATAACTATAATGAAGAACTTCAACAACAGAGTAGACCAAGCAGAAGAAAGGCTTTCTGAACTTGATGACAGGACTTTTGAAATAACACAGGAAGACAGAAAAGAAAAGAAACAGGAATAAAAATGAATGAAGAAGGCCTACAGGATTTATGGGACACTATTAAATGAACAAATATTTGTATTATGGGCATTCCAGAAGGAGAAGACAAGGAAAAAGATGAGGAAAATATATTTAATGAAATAATAACAGAAACCTTCCTAAGTTTTGGGAGAGAGATGGAAATTCAGGTACAGGAGGCTCAAAGAATCCCAAATAGACTCAATGAAACAGGTCCCTCTGAGGCATATTGTAGTCAAATTGGCAAAAGGCAAAGGCAAAGAAGGAATTGTAAAAGCAGCAAGGAAAAAGACCAAGTCACATAAAAGGAAATTCTCAATAGACTAACAGCAAGTTTCTCAGCAGAAACCTTACAGACCATGAGAGAATGGGATAATATATCCAAAATACTGAAAGAAAAAAAAAGACTATGTTTAGCAAATCTATCTTTTGGAAATGAAGGATAAATAAAATCTTTCACAAAAAAGCAAAACCAAAGGGAATTCATTACCACTGGAGTGGCCTTGCATGAAATGCCCAAGAGAATCTCACATCTGAATGTGAAAAGAGGATAAACACCATCATGAAAGCACGAAAAACAATAAAACTTACTGGTAGAGCCAATAGACAAAGGAGAAAGAGAAAGTAACTAAACTTTATCACTACAGAACACAACCCTACTGCAAAAATAGAAAAGAGAGGAGGCAAGAAACAAAGGATATCCAAAACCACCAGAAAATAATCAATAAAATGTCAGGGATAAATCCTCACCTTTCAATAATAACATTGAATGAAAATGAATTAAATTCCCTATTTAAAAGATGTAGATTGGCTGAATGAATTAAAAAAGCAAAAACAAAAACAAGACCAAATAATATTCTGCCTACCAGAAACTCAATTCATCTATAAAGACAGACATAGACTAAAAGTGAGGGGATGGAAAAAGATATTTAATGCAAATTGAACCAAATGCTTATGGGAGTAGCTATACTTATATCAGCCAAAACCACTAACTTAGCATGTGGGTGGTTTTCCTCAAATTTCTGTTGTATGATTAATAAATCTTTTCTTAGGTCTACAGCCTAAGGACAGGTTAATATATATACCTTCCAGGCCAATACCCAGATTTTAGTAACATTTATGTTATGGGACTTTGCTATGCTCAAATATACTTTCTCTGATTCTGTGTCTTTCTGTCTATCAAGGGATCCTAGCATCACATGTGGAATTTTTTAAAAGGAGATACCTAAGCTGTATGATGGATTTTTGATTCAGAATCTCTGGAGTAGGTCTATGATCATATTTCTTTTTTTTTTTTTTTTTA